ATAATAGTATTTAACATCCGTGTACGATAGTATTTGACATCCGTGTACGATAGTATTTGACATCTATGTATGATAGTATTTGACATCTGTTTATGATAGTATTTGACATCTTTGTATAATAGTATTTGACATCTATGTATGATAGTATTTAACATCCGTGTATGATAGTATTTGACATCTATGTATAATAGTATTTAACATCCGAGTACAATAGTATTTGACATCTATGTATAATAGTATTTAACATCTATGTATAATAGTATTTGACATCTATGTATGATAGTATTTGACATCTGTTTATGATAGTATTTGACATCTGTTTATGATAGTATTTGACATCTGTTTATGATAGTATTTGACATCTGTTTATGATAGCATTTGACATCTGTTTATAATAGCATTTGACATCTGTTTATGATAGTATTTGACATCTGTTTATGATAGCATTTGACATCTGTGTATGATAGCATTTGACATTTATGTATGATAGTAGCCTGTAGAGTTGTACATTAATAGTTATTGACTGGCCAACAACATTTGAGCCTTATTGCCCTTAATGTCAGTAAAATCAGCTATCTACGATACGATCAATATTGTTAGTAACATTTATGTTTGTTCCCTTGTCAACAGAATTGGCTGTCTATGATACAATGTAGCTTCTTGCCAAATAATTACAATTATGCTGAGTCTCGTGCCAGACATCACAATCAGTATATGCTGGTGGTCTGTTACAGTATGAGTAGGGGATAGAATCTCTGATTTGTATTTGGTCCAACTATAAATTCACATATTTTCTATTTATCAGATTCCAATTATACTGGTCTCAATGATAGTTTATCATTTGAGGAATTAGAAGAGATAGCATCTTACCTTGTAAATGAAGGTCAGAGTGGTGGATTGGATGATGCATTGGGTGTAGAAGTATTAACATTATCAGTCACTGATCCAGTAGCACCCGCAGTAGATTCAACTGGTGGTGTGAGAGCAACAAATGAAACTGGTGGGCCAGCTGATGGAGATGTCAGGTATTTTTCTTATTGTTCAGTCTGCAACAAAACACTTGGAAAATTAATCTGCGTAATGATAGGCACACAATTCAAGCTGATAGAAATAACTTATCTATTGTTTGTAGGTATGATGAATTGGTTGAAGAAACTGATGATGAGCTAGCTCTGATATATCAAATTCCTAAACGATTAAATATTTACCATGAAATCTCAGGAGCATATGAAGGAGCGATATTTCAACAGCAACCAGTCATTGATGCTCTTGATGCTCTGGTAACTACAGATTTTTTTCTCAAAATATTTGATATCATTTATTGATGTATTTTAAAAGATAAATAAAGACAGTGAATATTACTATATTATTGTTTTGTTAAAAGAATGAATTCTAAAGTTGGACAAATTATTGTGACAGGGCTCAGATTGTGTACTAGTATGTATGAAATGCATTTATCTTTCGCTTTTCTGTTCATTCAGGGTGACCATGTAAACAACCTTGGTCATAGTTCATCACCATGGCAACTGAGTGTATCACTTACACCTAACACAGGCAATGCCAGAGCACAGTTGCTAGGTAACACCAGTGTGGTATTCGTTAATGGATATGCTAATTTCACCAATTTAGCCATCACACATGCTGGAGATTACATCCTAGACTTCGTCATCACTGTCCCAGAAAACACAACATTAGGTGTTGTTTCCATTTCATTCACTGTATCCAATCGTCCATACTCTCTGGGTGTTGTAGCTGTTCCTGATTCTGCTTATGAAGGCGAGTTATTCACACCACAGCCTATCATTGAAATTGTTGATACCATTCTAGGTGAAACTGCAGAAAATATCTCATGGAAGGTATGTGCTCAACTGGAATCTTATATTATATATAAAATATTTTAATATTTAGTTTCATGACGAGTCCATTCTTGTTTAAGCAAATATGTAAACCATCGTTCAGTCTGGTATACCAATTGATATTTCACATGCACATAACATGTAATAGTGTATTCATATATAAGTGCTAGTTTAGAATAAAAGTATGTTTTCTCTTCTGATTTTGATCAATGTTCAGTGGTTTCATTAAGAATCAGCCGCCGGCCATATGGCCAGCTACAAGCCCAAATTGGCCATCTACTTTCTGGCCCCGACCGCCTATGACGAAATTTACTTAAAGCCTACACAAAAATTCTGCACTCATTACATAAATCCATGTTTTTAAAAAAAAATTATGGAAATGTGTGTGAGTGAAATATGACATCACTTTGTTTTATGTTCATTTTAGGGTCACACATGGACATCACACATCGAGTTGTTTATGCCTTCATTGTATCTGGGTAACCTTCAAGGCAACCAGACTGCCCCTGTCCAAGCAGACACCTCACAGACTGCATACTCTGATTTATACATTGATACATATGGCAAGGACTATCTCCTTGAAGTGACAGTTACATCCAGTCCAGCTGACTATGAACTAACAGTGGTATTGTCAAACTTTGATGTGATTGATCCTAATGCATCTATCCCGTCTGGCTCCACAAAGAGTGTGACGTTGACATTTGATGAGGATTACAACAGTGTAGTTTCTGGTTTAGAAACTTACTTTGCTATAATGTTTGTCAACCATATGAATGCAAGATATACCCATTTGACAGTGAGCAATGTCCAGCTTTCAGAAGGTATGTACATTTTGTATGCTTGATATGAATGCAAGATATACAAATGTGACTGTTAGCAATGTCCAGCTGTCTGAAGGTATGTATGCTTGATATGAATGCAAGATATACAAATATGACTGTCGGCAATGTCCAGCTTTCTGAAGGTACAGTACAGTTCTCGCGAAAGCTTTGGCTTTTGTGGCATCATTGTCGCATACGCATGGCTTCATTGTCGCCTCAGCATCGCATCAGCTTCGCGTCATTAAAAATTGAAGCTGTGTTCGCCTCTCTTATTTTGTGGCATCATCGTGGCCTCAGCTTCGCAGTCTCATGGCATCAACATGGCATCAGCTTCAAAGTATTGTGACATGATTATGACCTCATTATTTTCACATGGAAAGGCAGTAGAGAAAAACACGTGTACAGAAGTTCGATATGTAATCGATTTGAAATTGAAAGCGGAATAAAATAATATGACCAAGAGTAAAATGACATTTTAAAAAGATATCTTGTTTAATTATTTAATGTTGTGAGTATTGGGTATTAAAAACTATGTGAAGTACATTGCGATCTGCAAGGTGACGAGTGTCATATTGACTGCAAGGAAAAACGTGATAAATTTAAATCACACGATGCAATTGTCGTTCGGAAACAACACAATTTGCTATACGAAAT